TGCGCGCGAAGCGCGCATCAATATCGGACCGCGAAGCGGGACGATCGTTCTACGCGCGCCCCGAGGCGCGCTCAATTATGCGAGCGAAGCGAGCTCCTACGCGCGAAGCGCGTGATGAGAATGTGGCTTTTTTTTTTAAATTCAATTGTTAATTACTGAAAAAAGGATAGTAGTTTGAAAATAATTATAATAATGCAAATTAAAAATTGTTATTTAATTTCTTTTATACAAAAATAAGTAATATTCAACTAAGTTTCTGAATTATCAAAAGATTGAATGTTTAATAGTTCGAATTACCGAAAAATCGAATATCTAAAAGTACGAATTACCAAACGATTGATTTTCTAAAAATTTAGAGTCAATGTTTTTTATGTGAATGCATTTTACTCTCAGGACACAAGTATTATTAGATTCTATCCATGAAAATTGAATCTTGACTTGTGGAAGTGCATCGAAATTGGTGGAAAATGCAACACTAACGTCCAGACGCTCGTACAAGAGCGCAGTTCCGAAATGGTTTGCTGAATCGGTTTACATTACCGCCTAATGACTGAGAGTTAACAACGCGGGTAATTTCCTGTAGTTAACGACCATTACGGTATGGCAGTGACACAATGCCCGTTATTCCACACCATTTTCCATCTGGCTTTGATCGATTAATCGATTCAAGATCGAACTCAATAGCATTAAAGCCTAATACATGTATTATACTCACGAGACGCATATGAAAACCGACTATAAACCTACATATATACACCATACCATGTATCTGATGTTTGCACAGAAAAAACGTGGGAACAATTCAAGTGGCGTAAGTAGGCTATATATAATAATCAATTTGAAACGCATCAAAAATTAAATTCCTCGTTTTAATTTTGAAACTACGTTAAAATGTATCAAAATAAAACAAAATATTTATTTTGGGAATATAAGCAAAGGGGGCTATACTTTTAGAAATTCTATCTTTTGGTAATTCGAACTTTTATAACAATTCGATAAAAAAGTATTATTCGATTTTATGAAATTCGATCTTTTGAGATTTAGGCCAAAATAAGACTTATTACTTAAATTATACCTATTATAATACCTATTATAATAAAAATACCTATTACTTAAAAATTATTAAATATTCATGCAAACAAAATCCTTCTGGTATTATTGAAATATTAGAAAAAAATAATAATAATAAAACATCGTTTTTGGGCCCAAAAGGGAATCAGAATTTAAAAAAATTCAAAATAGCAGATCCAGTAAAGCGGAAAATTTTTTAATTGACTGGATTCAATCAGAATTCGTTATTATAAATTTAAATTTAATATCAGAAAAATGTTAAAATTAATTTGAATTTTTTATCACTTCGATACCCAAATCAAAATAAGTCGCAACAAAAATGAGTCCAAGTTTTTTCTAATACGAATTTGTTGTACGACAACACAGTTTTCTTGTGTGTATCAAATTGATACAAGAATTAAGATCAACTCATGCCACGTATTCAATCAATATAAGGTATCAAATTGATCCAAATATTTGGATCATTTCCAAGAAATGATCCAGAATATGGGATCATTTTTTGATACCTGAATTGGTATCAAAGTATAACTGTCATGTCTGGCATGCTCTTATTGACAAGTTTATTAATTAATTTATTCACTGCACTGAATATTCAGATATTAAAAATACTTTTATTATGAATTTTAAGAAAGAGAGAAGCGAAAACTTATAAATTGCGAGCAATTAAATAAGAAAAAATTTATTTCGAAATAAAATGAAATACACTAACCTTTATTTATGTTTATCACATAAGATTTAAGTTAAGTTCACAATCACAACACTTGAAAATTTTTAATTATTTTTATGGTTCAAATAATTATCAATAATTTATTTATTATAAATAAACAAAATTTAAGCAAAGCACGCTTGATAAATATTTCTAATGCGTTGTCAATTAATGCAATTAATAATTTCCTATTACACAATATCATAATCGACATATATGACATTTGTAAACAAACAGGGTTGGGAAACAAGAGCCGAAAATATGTTCGTCCAAAGCAGAGTTGGGTAGGATTCTGTTTCACGTTTAAGGTTAACGCACATGTAATTTTGAAATAGGGAAAAACTGAATAATTATTTTTTAATAGTTTTGTTAAAAATAATTTGAACTGTAAAAATAATGAAAAAAATTCAAATGTTGCGATCTTTGTTCAGACAAATGAAAATTCTATTAATTAGAAATTCTGATAAGAGTGTCGGACGTTGTTTTGATCAAATACATGAAAAACTAAAGTCTGTTTCACGTTCACCTCTTAATTGCAATGTTTTAACTAATGAAATTTAATGTTTAATGTTAAAATTAAATGTTTAATGTTAATTTAAATTTAATGTTTCAATCAATGAAACTAATCTTTACTTTTATAAACAGGTTGAGAACCTTTTCGTGATAACTGAGCGCTCATAGCGAGAATTTGGAAAATTAATTGACAACGCATTAGAAATATTTATCAAGCGTGCATTGCTTAAATTTTGTTCATTTATAATAAATAAATTATTGATAATAATTATTTGCACCATAAAAATAATTAAAAATTTTCAAGTGTTGTGATTGTGAACTTAACTTAAATCTTATGTGATAAACATAAATAAAGGTTAGTGTATTTCATTTTATTTCGAAATAAATTTTTTCTTATATAATTGCTCGCAATTTATAAGTTTTCGCTTCTCTCTTTCTTAAAATTCACAATAAAAGTATTTTTAATATCTGAATATTCAGTGCAGTGAATAAATGAATTAATAAACTTGTCAATAAGAGCATGCCAGCCATGACAGTTATACTTTGATACCAATTCAGGTATCAAAAAATGATCCCATATTCTGGATCATTTCTTGAAAATGATCCAAATCTTTGGATCAATTTGATACCTTATATCGAATCAAAACGTTGCATTCCAAAATGATACCATCAAGTTTACAGTGAAATTGACAAATTAATTTAATTAAAAATTAAACTTAATCGGAACGTTTATAAAAAAATTTAAAAGCAAATACGAATTAAAAGACAAAATTTGTAGTGCCTTTGTTCTTCTGCATGTAACATTAAAAAAAAGTATATTTATACGTTCTTGAACTCAGACATAACAACCATAAGAAAAGTGGAAATTATTATATTTGTGTATGTAACTAGTCACAGACTATATATACATATACAACGTGGAGAATAACTTTCTACACTAGGAAGGCGCGTAATGATTTTAACTGTTTTACGCAATAGCAATAATAGCATGACGAGGATAAACGTAACAATAGTATTTAAATTTACTGCTTTGTAGCGCTCAAGAAATAACTAATCCCTCAAATCCTGGAATTACAGTGTTCCCGCAGTAATAAGACCTAATGAACCGTAAAATGTCTATTTTTAATACGGTATAGAGAAAAACACTACATTTGCCACTCGTTAAATAATATATACATGTTTTGAATTTTGAAACTCCAAAATGCAAAATAATGAGAGAGATTATCCTTCAAATGTGAAGCTTATAAATTCGCAAATTTTCACATGCGGAATCCTTCAATAATAAATATAAGCTGATTTTCATTCTGATATAATATGATTCTAAGTGAAATTACTTAAATGTCGAGAGAAATATTTTTTGAAATAAATCATATAGTATATTTCATCTATAATGATAAAGATAAATAATTGAAGGAGATTTATTTTAATAACGAGATAATTTCTTTAGTCAATTATCAAATATAATGTTTCAAAAAGAAAAACATTTTTTTTTAAAGTTTCATGCCAATGACAAAAACTTTTTTATTTTTCGTATACAACGTTTAACAAAGAATGCCCCATATATATAGATATGTGCTAATTTCACAGTGAATGCAACCGTGTTTAGTCAGACGAGTGGATAAATCGACGCGTTCAATTGCATTAGTTGAGATAATTCAAATATGAGTGCATTTATTATCGAGGTACAATCATAATTATTTTTTTCTCAATTTAGTTCAATATTTCAGTTTTAAGAAAATAATTATAACATTACAAATAAATAATATATATATTTTTTTGTCTTTAATTAATGTTTTTGACATATGACTTTTATTTTTGAGGTTATGTTCGCTTTAACCTATGTTTTTAACATTTGACTTTGAGTTTTGAGGTTATGTTTGAACTGAGGCCTTGAATCCTGGAAACCTATGCCCTAGAATTTTGAGGTATCTCTGACCTTGAATCTTGGAAACTATGCCTTTGAATTTTAAGGTTATGTTTGATCCATGATTTTGAAGTTATGTTCGTTTTAATACTAATATAGGTAGATATATGGGTCGTTTCACGTTAATTCGTGTATGGGTTTAAGGTTAAAATCAGAACTAAAATACTAATATCGGTATATATAGGTCATTTCATATTAAGTGTAACCAACCCAACAATGGTTGGTTACACTTGACCCATACAGCGACGAAATCTTTTTATAATAAAAAGAAGATATGACCTTGATTTTTGAGGTTATGTTCGTTTTAACCTATGTTTTTGACATTTGACCTTGAGTTTTGAGGTTATGTTCGATTTTAACCCATGCAGCCAAGAACGCCAACTTAAAGAATCCCAGAAATGTAAAATATGTAGTTTTTATGTAAATTTCGTATGCTGGTCAGTGACAATTTTTACGATATCTACAAGATAAGTGTCAATACTCCAATAAATAGTTTATAGAAACTACATAACCTCCGTCAGTATAGATGGCGCAGGAGTTTCTGTGAATTTCTTAGGAAATTTTTTTCTGTATATAATAGAATTGGTGCTTTCACGAGATAAAAGAAAATTGAGATAAACTTGAAAGGTGCAGTATATATATTATTATAGGAAAAGTATGTCTATAATTGGAATTCTTCGCTTGTCGTTTTTATATAAAGAAAAATCCTAGATAACTGACCAGTGATATCGATCCATTGTATATATATATATATATTGTACATATATAGATGCTTGTGTGTTTTAGGGATTACGCGTAGGACGTACATCAGACATTATGAACCTGCCTGGTACGATACGACTGCTTTGCAACGACATCAAGAGAGGGTGCGTCGCGACGCTCCCGACTCCATCAGGGATCAACCGTTAATCTTGCGTGTTCACGTTCTCGACAGGTGAGTCACCAAGAAAAAAAAAATTATTTAACTCCTAAACAATAAAAGAAACATAAAAATTTATTGCGGACAAATTCGATTCGAAATGTTTCTGAGAAAGAGAGTATAAAGTAACTAATTATTTTTTAAACCCTTTCTTATTTAATGACAAAAAAAAAAAAATATTTACCTTGTCTTTTAGTAGTGAAAGAAAAACTTTACAAAAATTTGGATATTTGGATAAGGGGCCATTCATTAATTACGTAAGGGTCCTTAGGGGGAGGGGGGGTTTATAAAATCTCTACATGGTCTTACGTGGGGGGGTGGGGGGTAGAAGCTAATCTTACGTAAGATTTTGCCAAGTATTTTCCATTTGTATTATGATGTAATTAATTTTTTAATTACATTAATATTGTTAAAAACTTACGTAAGAAGGGGGAGGGGGGGTCCGAAAAATCTTATGTATCCTTACATGGGGATAGGGGGGGTCAAAATTAGCCAAAATCGTCCTTACGTAATTAATGAATGGCCCCTAAATTTCAAAATTTAAAATCTTTAAAGATTTTTTTTTTTTTTGATTCTCATAATTTTCTTAAAAATTAATTAATTTTTCCGACAAAATTCAACTTTTTTTTACCTACAAAAAAGTCAAACATTTTCGGAAAGTAGGACCAAAAAAACAATACCCGTGCGTCTGGCCGTTTTTTTTTTTTTTTTTTTTATTAATATTTTATAAAACTTGGTAACTGAAAGTGAAAGAAACATCAGATTCGTCATCAGCGACCCCAAAAACCCCTAGATACCAAGTTTTATAAAAAATTAATACCTTTTTAAATTTTGACCACCATATTGGATCCGCCATTTTGAATTTTGAAAATCTGACATCAGTTTAATAATCAGCTACTCCGAAAACCCCCAGATACCAAGTTTTTATAAAATATTAATAATTTTTGAAAGATATCTTCACAGAAAATTAAAAGGCATTAAAATAAGCTGCAACGCTTATTATTTTAATCCAATTTTGCTTAGTTTAATCCATTTTGATATTAAAATAAGCAAAATTGGATTAAAATAAGAAGCGTTGCAGCTTATTTTAATGCCTTTTAATTTTCTGTGTTGTCACTTTTCATTTAGGAGTTGTTTTCAACCCTAAAAACCACAAACGACTTGATTCATCAAAAACGACACCAGACACGGGTAATTTTTTGTTGGTCCTAGTTTTCGAAAATGTTTGATTTTTTTGTGGGTCAAAAATCGTGTCGGACGGTGTAATTGCGCTATTTTAACAAATTTTTAATTAAATAGAATTTCTTTACGATTTTTAAAATCAACCAATTAAAATTTATCCATAAAATTGTGATTTGTTACTTTTAAAAATTGCGCCAAAATCTTTCTGACAATTATTTATTCGTCCATTTGCAGTTTCGGATAAATGAAAATTCTATCAATTAGAAATTCTGATAAATAATTTTTCGCTTAAGTATAAATTCTGTAGAATAAAAAATCGGTTATACAGAAAATGTAATACGAAGCTGAAGTACGCAACTTTTATATAAACGATTTTTAAAGAAATAATTTTTTAAAATGAAAAATTCTATAATTTTTTGCATAAAAAATATTTCTTGTAGTTTTCATTAATCAACAAATTATAAAAAAATATTTTTTAGGCAAAAAATTATAGAATTTTTCATTTTAAAAAATTATTTCTTTAAAAATCATTTATATAAACGTTGCGTACTTCAGCTTCGTAATGTAATTCGAAAAATGGATTATTTTAATCTTTTATATGATATTAATTTAATCTGCAATGCTTTTAAATACCTTATATTTTACTGTGAAAAGTACGAATCCGTAAAAATAATATTTCTTAATTCTCTCATTGGTTGAGAGATTTATGTTCATTCACCTTATGAAGTAGATAAATGATTCTGACGTTCATCAATCAGGAAAGTTTAGTTACTTTAATTCGTTCATTAAGTGGCCGAAAACTTTTCCCTTAAAACCAAAAAAAAAAGAACAATTTCTCACATAGAATAGGCATCTCTGAATATCATTAGAAAAAAAAAATTCTTCACAAAAAGGAAGAGGAATTTCTCAATATTGTCATCTCAATATTATTAACGAGAAATTATAATTTTTTCTCATTTAAATTTTCTGTTATTGATCGTTGATGTGATTATAGTACCGCATTGCTCGCGATAACTGAACATAATTTAGAGTAGGGTATATATATAAAAAAAGTAAAAAAAAAAAAAAAATTTCAAGAGTCACCGAATATAAATGAAATTTTAATGGGCACTTTAATATAAAAATGAAGAGAAAAAGGTTGAATTTTGTGTTGAAGAAAAAGTAGATTGAATCCATGTGACTATGGCAGCAAATGGTATATCGGAAATCTCTCCAGGATAATTGCCTACTTGTTCTATGGAACGTGCTCGACCAGTACGCGATGGTTGGACAGTGTAACACTGGGGCATTTAGTGCATCGAGGCATGCATTACAACGGTTACGCCAGATAGGCGGACCATCGCATCGGTGCATCGGATACAAGCTGGAGGCAGATAATGGAAATCTCTGGCCCCGTACGTCACGTATTACGTGAACGAGCACGTGAACGTTTTCATCGTTTCAAATCGATCACTGAAGAGGCGAAAGTAAGTTCACCCGAGAATCCGGAAAACGATAAATCCCACAGATAAAATTGTCACGTTTTCATTTCATCTCATATATATATATACATATATACTACTATACCTATAGATCACGAAAATAACAAGTCGAGTAGAGAGCTATTGAAAATTTCTATAAATTCTATATATCCTTTTAAACATTCAATTTAAAGTACAATTTATTTATTTTCTTTGAAATTGAATAATTACGATACATATGAAGTGAAAGAGAATTTATTCGATTCAAATAATATTTGGTTACTTTTTTAATCAAATATTTATTTTTTTTCATTTTATTTTTTTGTTGGGTAATTATTATTATATTTGAGTCAATTATATAAGTGATATTTGTTTCAAGAATAGAAAAATCATTTGAGGGCAATTTATTTGTAGAGATTTAAATAACAATTATCTAGGTTCACATAAATAGTTTTTTTTATTTTACCCTTTAATGCAGAGATTTACAAAATTTTGACATGAAGTCTAAAGCTACATTTAGGCACTCATATTTTAGAAAAATCCAAGAGGAAACATTTCTTTGGACCCAAAATTCACCTCCATGAAGTTTGCATCGACGCTCAGCGACGAAAATTGTTTTTTCACAGGACCAAAAATGTAAAATTATTTTTTTTAAGATTTTCGAACCAAATAATGCCTTGAGAAATAATTTTCAAAGTATTATGTGGATACAAAACCATTTTAAAAATGATTGATATTTTCAATGGCGTTAGCCGTTTTTTTAAGATCGGGTAAAATTTTCGAAATAATCGCCGTTTGGTTTTTTTGGCCCATTATCAAAATACAACATTTTTCCTAATCAAAAAGAATAAAATTCACATAAAACTCGTTACCCGGGGGTTTTTGGGGTCGATGATTACAAATCTGGTGTCACTTTTTCAAAATTCAAAATGGCGGATGGAATCCGAATGATTTTTTAAAAAATATCCGCCATTTTGAATTTTTAAAAACTGACACCGGATTTGTAATCAGCGATTAAATGGCGTTAGCCGTTTTTTAAGATCGGGTCAAATTTTTAAAAAATAATCGACATTTTGTTTTTTTTGGCCCATTATCAAAATACAACATTTTTCCTAATCAAAAAGAATAAAATTGACTTAAAACTCGTTACTCGGGGGTTTTTGGGGTCGCTGATTACAAATCCGGTGTCAGTTTTTAAAAATTCAAAATTACTTCCTGGAGGTGAAATTTCGATACGTAAATTGTACATTAATTTTTTTTTTTTGGTACGTAAAGTATATGTAATTTTTAATGTCGAAAACGGTTCGAAGTCTGACCTATTTGAATCAAATAAATATTTCTTGCTTCCTCGTGGAGGAAGTTTTGTAAAAATTTTCAAAGTGTCGGAAACAAATTTTTCTCTAGGGGAGACCGGGGTTACTTGGCGCACTTTTTATTCTTTGTTGTGTAACTCACTTATTTTTGCTTTTTTTAAAAATTTAATGTATAGAAAACTTGTTGTAACATATCAGCTTGAATTAAAAAAAAAGAAAGTTGAAATTTATTTAATACTTTTCTCGACTTTTATTTTTATACCACTTTATTTGAAGCTGTGCAAAGCGCGCCAAGCAACCCCGGCCCGAGGTTGCATGGCGCAGGAGTAAAATTAAAATTAAATTATATGATTTAAAGTTTAAATAATATAAGACTTAACAAAATAAGTCTTGTACTGTAATTTTACAATAAAATTATTTTCAATTTAAAAATTAGAAAATTTCATTTAAATTAAATGAAATCGTAAAATTATTATTATTATTATTATATACCTGCGTTCCGAGTTGTATGTTTACAGTGAAGTACAAAGGCTACCTTAAGTCCTACGCGAAGGTCATGAAAATATCAAGATAATTCAATCAGTTGCAAATCGTGTATTGACCTGTTTAGACGTGCTCAACGTGAGTGTGAAAAGGTTATATTTTGGAATCAAATAAATAACAAAATTTTGTGAAAAATATATATAGGTAATAAAATACGGTAAACATATTTCGCTTAGCAAATAATTTATATTTACTGAATGTGAGTAAATGGAAAAAAGATTATTGTTGATATTATAGATATTGCGGTGCTTTTAGACGTGTGATTATGGAGCATAGACTGTTATCTCATGACAAACAATGACATCTCTATTGAAATTTATCAAATATAAAGTATAATAATCATTGTATATATCCTCACCTAGAATAGAAATCAGATCAATTGTGTACACAATTTTGACAAAATAAATGAAAAATATTAGTTGGTATATAATTTTTAACAATTTTTATATGGAAATAAATCTCCATTTATTTTGTCAAATCAAAATGTGCACGTTTGATATTTTACATAATTAATTTG